GCAATTATGAATCTGGAAACAGTTTTGAAGGAAACAGAAGTGAACGGGACAACATACATGACTGACAAAGAGATTGCAGCTGGCATATGTAAACCCACTGGTGTTGTTGGTGCTCTCGAAATTTATGCCAATGACTCAGAGGTAACATTTCTTTTTAAGCTGAATCTTTTCTTTTATCCAATCCAGTGTCTTTATCCTGAAAGCCTGGAAGTTTTCATTTGTTTGTATCCATAAGATTCAAATTGGAAAAATACATAATTCCACCATAAATCCTGTGAAAACACCTTTAGTAACACTTGAATTGTCATTTTCTGTTTGGCACTAGTCTCACAGTTTGGCCCACTCTTGACAATGTTTGTTCATTGAAGCTTATATTCATTTATGTCTGCGCGCTTTTTTTTAAGTTCCACCTCAATGTTTCAGTCAAGTTGTGGTCTGGACAATCTCTACTTTGGTCATATATATCCAGAGGATATTAGTCTGGAAATAATGTTGTCCAGTCAAATGCAACTTTGCTGGGCTGCTGTAGCTGTGCCACAATCCTGGCGTTGCTTTTTCGAGCTCAGGTTGCATCTTGATAAGCAAGATTTTTCCAATTGCTAAACTTTCTGTGTGAAACTTGCTGTGATGATCCCTGAAGAAGAGAGCAGCTGATAAAAATTAAAAAGAGAAAATTGAGATTCATATTTACATATTTACAAACCTAAATCAGGCTGCTGTGTTCATTTTAGTGACAAGACAGTTTCTCCTGACAACCCTTTCTGTTTTTTTTTTTTACTTTTTGTTTTTCTTACAGATTTTTAATGCAATAGTTTTGTTTCTTTTTCTAACACTGATGTAGGTGAGGTTTAAAACAGATGTGCCTAATAGGAAAGTGAAAGTCCGCCTGCCAAAAGAGCTGCTTGTTGGACAGAGCATTGTGTTCTGCAAGATTAACCTTTCAAATGAGGTGAGAAACTACATTTCACACACATTAGAACCTAAATCCTTAGTTCTGATTTACTCTCATATCAGCTTTGACCTGGTTTTACTCTGTTGTTTGCTTTATTTTAGATATATAGTTTAATCTTACAAGAATATAATATTTTATAAAAACATTATTCTTATGGTCATAAAAACCTCACATTTAAAAAGTCTAGAAAAGTTCTTAAGAACATTGTTGTACCAGCAAAGATAAAACACACAGCTTTTAATTATGCACTAATGGCACATTATAATAACAGGCAATGATACAATATAAATACAATGTGTGATTTTGTATTAGCAGATAAAAAGTAACTACGTGTTTATTAATGTTTTAATCTATTTTTGTTGTAATGACACAGTAGAATAGTAAGCTACTGATTACCAATAACTGTCTTTGTTAAATCTTCAGACTAACTGAATAGATTTTGTTTTCCAGACTTCTTTGAACGATTCAGACAAACTGTATGAGCACAAGCTGTTTGGCCTGAGTGTGACTGGCACTAATACGTCAGGATTTAAAGAACGAGTCAACATCACCGTGAACATTACTGCAGGCGTGAACGTAACTAAAACTAAACTAAATATAACATAAGAAAAGATTTTTGTCATATAAAATAAACGGACATCATATTGGACAATAACTCCACCTAAACCTGGAATGCTTTTTTTTTCTGCCATAGAAAACCCTCAAACCCCAGTGTGTGTACCTGGYCAAAGGTGAGGTTCCAACATCATATCAGTGTTGAGCAGTAACTTCATTATACAGTATGATGTAAAAATTATAAATTAGGTTTAATGTGGTCTTGTGATTAGTTGATGTAGTTCATGCAGCATCATGTGTGGATCTGTTTGACTTTCCAGGATTTAAAAGTGATGGCTGCTGGACTCTGTGGGAAAATGATCAAAATCATGTAACTTGTTCTTGTGACCATCTCACATTCTTTGGTGTACTCATGGTAGGAATTATTATTATTATTATTA